TTTGCACACTGCAGCCTCACCCAGCTGACATCCCACGTCCCCATCCATGCAGAGACCTGCAGCATCCTCGTCCTTATCTTCATCCTCCAGCGTGGCAAACACTGTGACCCACCCATGTCTCATGGCTGCTGGTCTCTCTCCAGGCGTGGGGCTATGTGTGTGTTACACAGGGGTTGGACTTGGTAGGGTAAGTACCTAAAAAAGTACCTAAAAAAGTAGCAAGAATGATTTCCTGTCCCCTGTTGTCACCACTGGACATGAATGGCTTTGAATATGATGCTAGTATTCTGCCCTCCTCCCACCATGACAGCAACTGGGGTGAATCCTGAATCCTTGGTCTTCAGCCCCAAGTTTGAGGTCTCTTTTTTTTAGCAGGCGTGACACTACATTGCAAGCTTTTAGACTTGGGACTCAATGGGCACGTTCTGCAGGACAACCTGCAAGGCCATAGGCCAGCAGCAGCAAAAGAAAGAATATCAGTTGCCTTCTCAAAGCTAAAGGCAGGCTGCCCTGTGCCCACAACTTTGGTGGTTATGGCACTGTGGTAATACCTACCAGCCCCAGCTCTGTATAATGCACCCCACAAACACTGAAAGTAAAGATGGCTCATGGCCAGAGCAGAAAGTGATTCTTGTTTACTTGGACAGGAGGAAGGAGCCCTGCAAGGGTTGCAGTTCAGAGGACTCTCTCTTCGCAATACTGCTTTGTATCCGCATTAAACATTCAGACTCTCCCTCCCTGGGGTTGTTCTTTTTCTTGGAAATAGGTGACTTCATGGCTTGACAGGGATCAGGGATGCTGCTTCTCTAAAGGAGATGATGACTGGAGAGCTCAGGCATGTCCCACCTGCCTGCCTCCCCCAGAACACAGCAGCAGCAGCAGCTCTTCTCTGCTTAAACCCCTGGGATTCAGTGGCCAGGTATCCTGCTTTTTACCCTCAACTGAGTGAGATCCTTTCTCACAAGGAAAATCAGGGCCAAACCCTAGGATGTTATTGAGCCCTTGAAATTAAAAGCGTCTCAAGCACAAAGCTCACCTAGCTGAGCTATAAATCAAGCCTCTGCTTTCAGGCAACCCATGCTTGCATAGTTATGAATCACCCCCTCCTTGCTTAATCATTTTGTACTAAGGACACCTTAAAATGAATGTACTCGAGTCAGAAAGTCCATGAAAAATGAGAGTGCAAATGACTAAGGGAGGATTTTGCATCTGCGTCCAAGTTTGGAAGCAAATATGGGCATTTGTAGGGAGAGCAGTTGTCCTCCAAGTACTTCTGCAAAGAAAAAGCCCATGCAGGGAATGACTAATGGGCACGGACAGGAACAGGCTGATCCATACAAGTGCCCAGTGAGGAGCCTGCAAGGAGTTTGGCTGTAGCTGCCTGGCTCCACCTTGACCTGTGCAGCAGATCAAGGTAGGTTTCTTTGGGAATAAAGCTTTCCCTGCTGTCTGATGGCCTTTTGGCAAGTGAAGACCTCAGAGAGCAAAGCGTGCAGCAGCCGTGTGCCACAGCAGTGCTTTGGCTCCAAGGGTTTGTGCTGTGCTGGGGACCACGGCAGCCAGTGGGATACAGGCAGAGGGTGTCCTCTGCTTCTGGAACACCGAGTCTGCCTTTTCCTCCTGTTGGGAAAGTCCTTATAACACAATGGTAGTGCTTAAGGCACTCTGGCAGCAGGAGAAACTCAACGTTCTGAAAGCACCAAAGGTGTTTCAGCGACTGGGATCTCTGTGGGGTTTGGGAACAGGGGAGCAGGTAACCCAGGGCAGCCCCACAAGGCAGGCACAAGCAGAGTGCATCTGACTGTATTCCATGAGGTCCATGTCTCTGTCTTGGATGATGACGTTTGGACAGTGGAGTTCACATCATTCGAGGGATACATGCCCATTTGGGGCTTGGAGAGCCAGGCAGAGGGCATCCCACAGAATGATGCTGCTGTCCCCCACCATCAGAAGCTTCCTGGCACTGTGCAGACCCTTACAGCACTTGATAACAGCCACTTTATTCATCTCCTCCTGTCTTTTGCGGCAACCATAGCACCTGACACCACGGATAGACACCTTCAGGCACACAAGGACACAGCAACATCCCTGAACACACAGGTAAGCCCAAGCAGATGGCACAAGCATCCACACAGCGCCCACTGCCCAGATGCCTGGTGCTGGACACGTGTGGATTCACAGAGGCACAACTGGGACTAAAAAGCATCACACCATGGATCCCACATGCAACACATCCTCCCAGCTTCGGGGTGTGCTCACACACGTGCACACACACCTGTGTACATGCACACACATGTGCACACACAGACACATATGTGTTCTCCACAGCAGCAGTTATTGTGTCACTCCTGAGCCAAAGGCAGGGTCTGGGCTCTGTGCTGTCAGCGGGTCCTCGGGGAGGTCTAACAGCCTCCAGCTGCAGAGGATGAGCTCAGCACCAGCCGGGCCGAGTGAGCCTCCACCTTTTGTGAGCCCTGGAAGCCGGGATGGAGGTTGCTGCCATGTCAAAAGGCAGTTGTTCAGCATTAAATGACCTTCACTCTGTTCCTTGCCCATTCAACCCCGGGGTGCTGCCAAGTGAGAGGGGTTTCATGGCCGTGCCCTGTGCAGCTCTCATGGATTCAGTGTGCATTTCATGGATTTCGGAGCTTCAGCAGCTGCTTAACTTTGGCTCAGTGGTACTCAAAGGTGTGGAGGCACCAGGATCTTATCAGCCCCACATGTGGTGGGTAACTGCAGTGCACAGGCACAGCCCATCTCTGCCTCCTGAGCATCTTCCAGCCTGGGAGCACGCTCAGCCCCAGATGTGAACTCTGCAGCTCAGGTCTCTCCTAGTCTAAATATGCACTGGAAGGAAATTCCAGCTCAGACCCCTCCTGGCAGAGCTCTTGGGCTGTGCTCTTGTGGTTTGAGCACACAGGACCTCTGACTTACAGCTGCAAATATCTTGTAGTTACACAAGAGGAAGCAACACAGCAAATGTGCATGGGAATTATCCTATGTCCTAAAGCTTTGCTGAGCCTGGAAGCCATCTGTGTGACCCTTCCTGGGGTCGGAGGTGAGACATTCCGTTTTCCCTGTGTCATTCGGAATGAAAAGCAAAAGCCTGGCTGGTGCTCGAGACACTAAGTACGTGTGTCAGAGCGCTGTGAGATGTTTGCTTTAGATATGATGTGAAAGCGTGTTCAGTGAGGAGCCGCCTCAAACGCGTGGCTGCGGGATGTGTCATGGTCCTTCAAGGAAAGGGTGAAAGAAAATGAGGACAACTAAAGGAGTGAAACCTTGGAATTCTGTTGGACACAGCAGCTGCGAGGGGAAAGCGTCTGGAGAGAACTTAAGCATCCAGCCAGTGCAGCTTCACATCCACATCCTGATTTTAACTGCTGTAAGGTGTGCAGTTTATTGCATTCAGACATATAGTCACTGGTAGCTGGACGGTGTTGACCATTAGTAACCAAAGTGGATGGTTTAAATTAATGGGTTTAAGTTCTAGTGCTTTGATTTAAAACAACCCCTTACAGTTGGAGTCAAGCCCATCTAATTGTGCCCCCATGGGTTGCCCACGAGCATCCCTCAGGACAGCCACGATGTGGGACACCCAATGAGTTGCAGTGCCCCAGGAGCACTCAGCAGATGGGTTTGAGATGTGCAACCTAGAGCATGACAAACATCCCAAAGAGCCTGTTTCTCCCCAGTTAGAACAGAATATAATATTAATTTTAATATTTAGTTACTTGAGCTGGAGCTGTGCATCTCCTTGCTGCAGCTCTCCTTCCCACCAGTGCAAGTGATGTTCCAATAACCCAGGGCACATCCCAGCTTTTCAAGAAAGATACCGTTTCTGCTCCCTGTGGTGGGCTTTTTGGAGGAAAACCTGGCTGGTTGCACAGTTCCATGATGAGGAAGGTCATCATGGGCTTGTGTTGGACCAGTGCTGAGGACTTCAAGCTGGAGCTTTTTATCCTGGGTGCTGCCCAAATGTGGGGCAAAAGGACAAACTTTGTGTTGATGCACAAGATGGGAGACAGGCAGTTGACATGACCATGGGTGGAGGCAGTAAGGCCATGCCAACCATTTGTGACCAGCTATTTTTGGGTCACAAAACTGCCTGCACATGCTGATGGGTGCTGAGGTCCTTGTATACGCCTCCCAAACCTTCTTCGTACCCATCCTTTGGAGATGGTACTGCCAAGATGGGGTGGCAAGACCCAGACTGGCACTTTCCTGTCGCAGAAGTCCCAGCCAGGAACAGGGAGAGGGGACGTGGGCTGGTTCTCATTGGGATGTTTCCTACAGGCAATAAACGAGGCAGAGCAAGGAGGAGGGGAGGAAATCACCCTGAGGAGGTGGCTTGTTTACTACAGCTCACACTGGTCCCAGACAGGAAAACTGCCCTTGACATCCCCCATCCCATGGCAAACCAAGAGGTTGTTTTGATGTGCCGGGAGAGGCGCTGGGGGCTGCCTGAAGCGCTCATTGAGAGACACACGTTTCCATCGCTCCCATCCCACCAAACAGCCGGGGCTGACTCAGATTTCCTGGAGATGCTCTTATCTCGTCCTGCCCAGCGCTCGCTCGGCAGCGAGGGCGACACAGCAGCCCTGGAAAGGCTGCCCTTTGCCCTTCCACAGCGCGATGGAGGCTTCCGGGCTCTGCGGCTCCCACACACGAGAGCTCAGCTTCACCGAGCAAGGAAAGGTCATGTTGAGAGGGGCATGGCTAAATCATCCTACAGAGTCCTCAGCAACCCCCTCCGAAAGCTCTGGGGCATTTATGGGAGTGTGTCATGACACGGACCACTCGGGCATCACTTGTAATCAACATTAAGTGAAGGCAGAGCTGGGTGTGCAGGGCAGCACTGCGCATGTGTGTGGCTCTGCAAGGCTGTGCCATCTTGCTGTTCACGTTTACCATCATGATATTGACCCATTTTAATCCCAGGGTTCCATCCTTTGTGTTTTCATTACCAGCCTTACCCACATCACTTCTTAGCATGGTACATGGTGGCCATGGACACGGTGTTTGCTGCCCTCAAAGGTATGTGTTTTCCTGTGGGGGAAAAAAATAGCTGAAGGAAGAGAGGGAAACATTTAGCTTTTTGTCCTTTGACTTGCAGCTTTCTCTGATCATGACGCAAGTTCTCCAGGTTTTCACCACAGCTTCAGCATCAACCCTTTCTAAGGAGCTAGGCTGCCTCAGCTCCCTGCCTCAGTTTCCCCAAATTGGGCTATCAGCATATCCACCTCACATGAGTATTTTCACAAGGATGTGCTATACACATTGCCACTGTGCTTTCCCTCCACTTGGTATGTCTGGACCACACCAGCACACCCATTTCCTTGCCTGAGAGACTTCTTGGACACGATGCTGAGCCTGAGAAGTGAGCAGGGACCAGCCGGGGCAATGAATGACTCAGAGACACCTCCACAGGCATTTCCTTTCTGGATCCCTCTCACTGTGCACAGAATTAGCACCTCTGGCTATAAAATATAAACCCTGGAAATGGTGACGTTGCTCTTGCACATCGCGAAGGCATCTGGAAAGGGCCACGGCCCAGGTGAGAAAGGTGGTGCTGGGTCAGTGCCGTACGTCAGGCTGCGTGATGGACCCGGCTTTGGAGGGACAGGGATTTAGTGTAAGTGATGCGGCAGGGTTTGGCCAGGATGGACCGGATCTGTGTCACACCAGCAATGGCTTTGGCTTCCTGCCCTGCCGGAGGCCAGTCTGGAGCTCTAACGGCTCAGGTTGTCTCCTTATATCAGCTGGAGCACCTCTGCCCAGGGCAGGGGGCTCCCAGAGGAAGTGATTATTCATTTCCAGGAACACTGGAACCAGGGAAAGCTCCTGGAAGCCTCCTTAGTGCTTGATGTCAATGTGTTTCCTCCGCGCTGTGACTTCTGCGTAGGAAGGGGCCAGCAAACACTTCTGCATCACTGCCTGGTGCCACCAGGGCTGCCTGGGCAGCTCCAGGCTGGGCTCATCCCTGGAATAGCAGGGGGAAATGTCGCTGTCCAAGAGTGACCAGGGTGGTTTCAGGGCTGCAGGACACCATCTCTGCAGGGATGGGTAGTCCCAGGGCAGGGACTGCTCCAGCTAGGGGCAGTTCCCAGCAGTGTAGGGGAATAACCTGGTCTCTGAACTCCTACACTCCCCCTTACACCAGCACAAACACTCAGCATCTGCAAGTTCCTGTGCCAAGACATGTCACAGTGTAACTACACACTGAAAAAAGCCCTCTTTCTGCTTATTCTGAACCTGCATCCTCCTCCTTTCATTAATACATCCCTGCAAGACTGGGACCTGGTTTTGTCTGCTGTCACATCTCCCCTCCATGGCTCCCTTGGTTGCTCCTAGTCACAGAATCATAGAATCATAGAATGGTTCAGGTTGGAAAGGACCTTAAGATAATCTAGTTCCAACTCCCTGCCATGAGCAGGGATACTTCACACTAGACCATGTCGCTCAAGGCTCTGTCCAACCAGGCCTAGATGAAAGCTCTTTCCTTCAGCCACCCATCTGCTATCGTGTCTCTGGGGTGGGGGACCAGTATCCATGGTGCAGGTAGAACAACATCATCCTCAGCTCTGATCCCTTTTCCTTCCCTCTCCCGGGTTTGGTGGGAACTGGGTGCATCCACCAGCCCTCCTTCCCTCTGTCCCTGCTCCTCCCGGCACAGGGCTGGGACACACTGGGGCTGGGACAACAGAAAAAGTGACCTCAGCACTGAAACTCCTGGCTCTGCCTCTTCTGTGCTCGCCAAACACCTCTTTATTTATGATGAAAACAGTTACAGTCACTACCACAGAGGCTCGGCTGCAGGAGCGCTCAGGTTCCCTGCTGCTGGCTTGGTAGAGGGATGGAGGTCCCAGGACATGTACCAGCGATGGGGATGGCGTAAGTGGCCCCAAAACACTGCTTATCCCATGAGAGGGTCTGCTTTGGGGCAACAACCGGCCTCACTCCTGGGTGGAGCTGCTGGGCTCAGATGTTCTGGTTTCTGGCTGCTGTTTGGGGAGCATCCTCCCTATCTTGCCCCAACTCCAACCTTGATGCCTTCCAGCTCCCACCCTCTGCCTCCACCCTCCTGCTCTCTGGCCGTAGTCTCAGCACTGGGATTGTTAAAGTCTGCAGCTAAACAAGATGAAGCTGTGCTCTCCCTCCTCCCAGCCTTCACCCTTCATTCGAGGACACAGAAGGGCCACACCGCTTCCTCCAACAGGGTGACTCCCTAAGCAGGGAGGAGGCAGGATCCGTGGGGTTCGGCACAGGATGCGCCCCAGCACTCCCAGCCCCTGTCCCATGGGAGAGCCCCGGGGTGGGCAGGGGGGAGCAGGCAACGCCTGCACGGGTGGTCAATCCACCCCTCCCTTCATGGACAGGCGGCCCCCTGAGGCTCTCGTGGCACGAGAGGCACCATTACACACTTCCCAAACTCGTCTGCTGCTTGCCAGAGGTATTACTCAACCCAGACATAGCACGAGCATCCAAATCCCTTTCCCTTGTGCAACTGGGTAAGGAATTACGCATGGATTCCTGCAGGGAGTCCTTACCCACCTGCTGCAGGTGAATATCAGCTGCTTTCTGTGTGAGCTCTGAGTTTCAGTTAGAAAACATCAATTCTGTGCCTAAAGGCACTTGCAGCAGGGGCTGACTGTGCGGAGCTACATGGGGACATGGTCCCTTTCCTTCCCTGTCCCTCATCACCCGCACAGGGACCAGGAGAGGGGAGGCACAGCAGTTCTGGGCTCAGAGCACACAGATTCATGGCATTGCTGCAGGAAAGGAGGATTAGGGAGGGTCTGAAACCCCTGTAACTCCCTGGTGAACAGGCTTTTGCCCAGCCTCCTCCCACAGACTCTTCTTCTCCTGCAGCTTGTCATAAGAAGCAAACTGGAAGCTCTGGGAGGAATCACAAGCTCTCCAAAGCTTTGTGTAGAAAATATCTATGAGGTCAGCCTGTTCTTGCTTCTGCTATTGCAAAACCTTTTCCTTTTGTGGCTTTTCAGTATAATGCACAGAATCTGTGATGAAATCCACTTCCTGCTTCAGCAGGCTGGAGCTCCTGCTGCCTGCCTAGGTAGTTTCAGCATATACACAGGTACAAGCATATTTAGAAGTCCTAAGGGTCAGCCAGTTGATACAGATGGCACCAATCCATATATGCAGGCGATGCTCTGGGGCTGTGTTGGTGCATGGTGCTGCTCTGCATCCTCTGTAGGGATGTGCACACCAGTGCCCAGTTTGCTGGGGTTGCAAACACACATGAAAAGCACCAGCTGAGCTGTTATTTAGTGGTTAAGACCAATAGCCAGCTTTTATAGGGCCTAGGCTCAGCTCCCTGTGCCTACAGGTTTAGTCCTGTCCCAGTGTCAAAACGGGAGGGAAGTGCATTGGCTTTGCTTGTGTGTGGATGTTCTGGTTATCGTGGGTTTCCTACAACAGCATCAGCAAATTCCCTGGTGTATCCAACCCTTTCACCTTCTTCTACATTTGCCTGTCAGCAAGATGAGAATAGAATCTTAGAATAGCAGAATGGTTGGGGTTGGAAAGGACCTTAAGATCATCTAGTTCTAACCCCCTGCCATAGGCAGGGATGCCTCACACTAGACCATGTTGCTTTGTCCAGCCTGGCCTTGAACACTGCCGGGGATGGAGTATAACATCACCTTCTCTCATCTGCTGCTTAATACCTGTGCTTAGATTATAAACTCCCTGCATGGGAACTGCCCAGCTCCAGGTAGTCAATGACAAAAGTCACGTGTGAATACAAAAGCCATAGGCAGCACCCATCCATGCCCATGTAGCGCCCATCTCTGACCCTTGGCTGTTGCAGGGGCCACAAAGTGGGTGCTGAGCATTGGAACAGGCTGCCCAGGACAGTGGTGGAGCCACCATCCCTGGGGGTGCTTAAAAGACGTGTAGATGTGGCACTGAGGGACATGGTTTAATGGTGACCTTGGCAGTGCTGGGGTGAAGGTTGGACTCGATGATCTTAAAGGTCTTTTCCAACCTAAATAGTTCTATGATTACAGAAATAATAACAAATAATAAGATCCTCCCTTCCCTGGAGCTGGGCTTAGTGCAGCCCCTGGCTTTCACCTGCAGCAAGGGATGCTCAGCAGCAAACCCAGCCTGGGGACCACAGTGATGCCTGGCAGCATCCAGCCAGCAACAACACGCCATCCAAACCCAGCAGCCATCACCAGCTGCCCATGAAGGGATTCTGTGCTGGAAGTCCCAGCCTCTCCTCCTGGCACAGACATAACCCAAGCCAAATCAGGAGATTTTAGTAGCACTTCCCAGCAGCAATCCTTCCCCTCCTAAAGGCAGGCTTTGATGCTGCTGGTAACCAAGAGCTGCTGGGAGGACAAGAAGGTATTTGAAGTGGTTTTCTTCCTGTAAAAGAAATTTCTTCCCTTTCTCTCTCTTTTTTTCCCTATTAAAGGTCATGGAATTGTCTGACAGCCAAAGCGCCTGGGATTCATGGAATACCTGAGCCAAAATTTGCCTTTTATTCTGGTGTCTAATGAGTAGGTTCTGGTTAACTCTGGGTTTAATGGGAATCCCACGTTTCTGCGAGCCAAAGGAATGAGCTGGGTCAGCACCATGTGGAGCAGCATCAGTCCCTGGGCACAGGATCATAACATGAGAACATTTGGGGGTTTTTAGGGGTTCTGTTTTTGCTTCAAATCTTCTGGATGTACCATATCTAATGAACTGAGCCTGTTTGGTTGGAGCAGCTTAAACATGTTCCTGCTATTAATTAAACTTCCCAATCTGTCAGCAAAATAGTGTGTCTGCTGGATGGAACAAGGGATTAATTCCAGCTCTTTGGACACCCAGATGGGTGTGATAACCACTGGGAAGGCTCATCTCTGTTATCTGTGGTAGGTACCATAGGATGGTGATCTCAAGGGCCTGCACGGAGCAGATCACCAATGAAGCTGGTATGAGGCTATCTGTTGTTTTGGGCACTGAACTGGTTTATCTTTCAGAGGGCTGGATATGGGTGACATCAATTGAGCTGCACAGGGACA